ACTGTATCCCATGAAATCTGAAGAAGATGTTTTGCCAGAAAGTACAAGCATATGTTAGATTTGCAGCCTAAAGCACTTGTTTTTCTAAGCAACATGCTGATTTCTCAGTATTGAGTTGAGCACAAATTTACTGCAAAACTAACTGTATTATTTTAATTTTTAAGGAGAAGTTAGAGCCACACATTTGTGAACCTCTCTATATATACTCCAATCAGAAATTGCCTTATTTTTTTTTTAGCTTAAATTTATTTTTAAAAATTTAAGCAATATCAACAAAGCACATCTTGACTTCTGCAAACAATTCAGAGTTTATTACACCAAGGGCTTATATTATTCCATAAGCCTACTTCAGCAACAGGATTGTAAGAACTTCCATTGTATGTTTAGTGTCTTCACTCTTTAAAATTTATACAGCTGTCTGCAGGCTATGTGATCTAAAATATTTCATGCAAAGAAGTGAAAAAAATGAAAAATCCATGCTTCTAAAAACAGAGACAGAAGCCTGCTGCTTTTTCTGTATTCCTAATTCATGCTCACACAGGTAAAAACTATCAGAGCTTTAAATGGCAGTACAAAAGTACTATACAATAATTCATGAAATACAAGTCTGTAGCAAATACCAGATTCATGAATAAAAGAAGCTCCTCAATCTCTGCCTTGGTGTCCATGCTGCTGTTGGCTTAATGATGGCCTCTTCTGCAGGGTACAGATCATGAAGTGGAAGCTCACTGTAAGGTGCAGAAGCACTAATTTTTATTACGGTTATCACCTGAGTATCTCAAAGTTCGTAAGGTCATTGTCCCATAGCTCAGGATCTTCTGATAGAATTCTCACCATACTTACCCAGTAAAAACAAACCATTCAGCCCTTGAATCCCTTTGATATTCAATGCAATCCTGCACTCTGTGTACTGTGTGCTGTTGCTTACATCAGCAAGCCATGTTCAAGTGGCATTTTTACTCCCTACTTGTGCTTCCTGTACCATAACAGACTCTGGAGCTAAGACTTATCTTTCATCCACACTGAAGAATAGTCATGTCAGAGAGATCTGTAAGAGACTTTAAAAGAGGAAAATAGGAGCAGAGGAATACTGTGTTCCATTGTAAGTTCAGGTGCATAGTAACCATTTGAATTACAGTTTATTAGAAATAACAAGATCATTCTTCATCCTTCTGGAAGTGCTACAAGACTGTTAGTGAAAGTATCTCATGACTGTTCTAATTGTGTCCCTGTCTAACTGTGTCCCTGCTGCAGTACCAGGACGGTGGTTCAGCACTAGCGCTGTACTGAACCAGTTTCCAGGATTTGTCCTAGATATCTTCCTTCTAATGGATTTGTGCTGTCCACATTAGTCTTTGAGATTTGAAATTATTTTTCCAGGAAGTAGTATGAATTTAGGACGCCAGGAGATTGCTTTGTTGTTTTTAAAATGTACACAAAAATGGGTTAATGGAGACAGTCTGAAAGGTCTAAAAATAACCTGAGTGATTATTTTTTTTCTTTTCATCCTGAATATTGATAGACCTTGTTTTCAGCCCCTAAACTCCTGTTTGCTTTTCCACATTATACTGTGTCATGTCAATGCACTCAGTTTAAGGCAATCCTACCTCAGGCAATCCTGCCCAATACTCTCAGGAAGAACAGGTAAGTCCTCTCCACCTTATTGCCAGCAGTGTCACACTGATAAGGACAGCACACATCCAGACTATTAGCCAGAGATGCCTTTTCTTTATCGTACTGTCACCCAGGATAAAAGTAGTGCCGAAGAAAGACCCTGGAACATTTGCTACCTGGGCTACTCTGAATACATCTTAAGGGTTGTTGAGAGCATGAGAAGGATGGGCATTGCCAGGGAAGGGCAGGAAAGAGGTGTAAGAGATTAAAACTGAAGAGGATTGAAAGGGCAGGCAACAAAGAGAAGGTGTCCCATACTATTCCCACTCATCCATATAACATGAAGAAAGGAAGACAGTGAGACAAATATTCAGCCCGTATCTTGTGCAGTTGCCTGCATATCCATGCTGCTCTGCAAGGAATAGGCACTGTTTGTTTGCATTTACACGCATACAGGCGCTGGACTATTTATAGAAATGGCACAGCTCTAGTGAAAGCCAGTCAGGCTTTCTGAAGTCATTTTAGGGGGGTTGTTTCTTTATCCACATCAGCAAGAAGGGAAATCAATGGTTAGTGTAACAGAACATCTATTCCTATGTTGTTTCCATCAGTACAATCACTGAAATAAATGTAGGTGCATACTGAAATTTGAAAATAAAGTGTATTGTAACAGTGGTAGGAATAGTAGAGACCTGTACTAAATAAAAACCAAAGCAAACCAAAAAACCCTCAGTTTCTCACTGTTACTTGAAAGTGACTATTTGCATTCATTTTGTTAGCTGCATGTTAACTTCATTCATATTTCTCTGTGTGTTTGCTTTAAGAAAAATAGTCAAATCTCATTTTCCATTTTGAGAAGCAGCATAAATTGCTCTGTCCTTGTAAAACAGAGGGTGGGAATAGGACATCTTTAGGAAAGGTGAATTCAATAGAACATACTGACACATGATTTACACAGAATTGTGGAAATTGACTTTATTTTAACAATAAAAGCCAACTTTGAAGTGTTGCACTAAAACCAGCGTAGAAGAAAAACCAGGAAAAGAGATTGACAACTTTATAACCACTGTCAAGATTCTCTGTTAGGGACAAGTGATCTCAGGAGTACAAATGCAGTGTAAGTTCATGCAATTCATAAACTCAGATATTTCAGTGTACAGTTTAAACAGAGAAGCTGCAAAAATAAACTGTAAATAAATATGAAATAATACCATCTATGTAAGGAACAGTGAAAACTAAAACCAGCTGAAAACTAATGTCAATCATATGTGAATAAAGATGGGATATTTGTTTATTTGCTTTAAAGACTAGTGAAGATCCATAACTGAATACCAGTAATGGGTGCTAGATACTTTCTTCTGAAGGAGGAATTTTCAGTCTAGGGTGAGTCAGTAATGATTAGCAGCATCTGCTTTGTATTTGGATAATGACAGTATATTTTTAAGTATATTAATATTGATGAAAATGCAGAATTATTGCAAAGATGGAAATTGAAAAACTACTTAAATCTTCACCTATTCTAACATAATCCATCCCTAAAGATCACATAAGCTTCTAAGAACATAGCACTTGTTTGCAAGACCCATATGGTATTTTAGAAAACACCCACAGTTACGAACCTGACTTACACAGGAAAAAGCAGTTGTTGCTGAGGAAAGTTTCAGAGTGAAACACAGTCTACTTCAATATGGATAGAGAGAAGAAAGGGCAGCAGAAACATAGATAATAAAACATAAATGCTAGATGGACACTTTCAGGAGCAGACTTTGATTCCTTTTATCTTTTCCCAAGATAATACATCCAGCGTTAGATGAGCATCTGGATCAGTTGAGTCAAGATCACTGGTTTGCAGTCAGTGCAGGCTCACTCTGGAACTCTAAAGGGCTCAAAGTCCAACAGCAATACAGGGAAAACCACAGATGGAAAAAATTCCATTTCAACTGAGCCCGTAAATGCCTGAGCAACAAGGCAGAAAGGCTGGGAAAACAAAAAGAATTTCTTGAATGTGACAATAAAATTCCTGTTGAAATCACTTTTTTGCCCTGCAGTGCTAAGGCCATCTACTGACAAGTAAATGAATATGGGAAGGGCCATATCAGGTCACATCAAAGGTCCATCTTGCTTGGTATCTTCTTTTACACAGATATAAAAGCAGAACGAGTATAAAAGTAGAGCAAATTATATTTGCCCCAAATACATCCCAGACTTCTAAGAACTTAAGGCTTAAGGGGTTTCTGAAACAGAATTTTCTACCTCAAGGATGCATTATGAATTATGTGCATTTAAAAAAAATAAAAAAAATCTTTGTTTAATTTGAATACACCACCTGCTCGCTTTGTCTGACACCCTCTGATTCTCTACTGGAAGAGACAAGTAGTAGCTGCTCAGTTCTCAATCTCAATGACACTTGTCATTTTGTAACTTGTATCCTATCTCCCCTCAGCCTCCTTCTGTCCAGGACAGCCCAAGCCTGCTTAGCTAGTTCTGTAAGAGATGTGTCCAGAATTTCTGAGATACTCCAGATGGAAGCAAATGAAAGATTTGAAGAGTGGCATATTAATTTACTCGATTTCATCCTCTTTCCCCCTCCCAGTAATCCCAAACAATTTGAAGTGATAAAGTTGACAAAGCATTTTAGGAAAACCTGGACATTAAGCCTGCTTTAAAATTGCTGATGGACCATGGAATATGGAGTTTTCACATGTGCTGTTCATACACATGCTTCTTGGGTGCAGGGAATGTGTAAATGTATGGGAAAGGCCAAAAGTAAAACATCCAGGAAGGAAGGAAAGAGGGAGGCTCTCCATCTCCAGAACTTGCATCTGCCCATTTTCTATGCTCCATCATTTGAAGAAATCACTGGTATTGTGTGGCAGCATCAAAAACCAGTCAAAGCAGACAAAGACCAGTCTTACAAGCAGAGATCTGTGAAATCCATGGAGGGGTTAAGACCATGCAGTGTCTCCTGTGGTCTGGATTAATTTCCTGGAAGCTGGAGAAGTCTTTTGCACATATTATGCAAATAGAGTTTTAGGATAGGTTCATTATAGTAGTGAAACATCTTGTTTCAGGAAGTTAAAGTTTTATAGACAACAGGTACCATGTAAACTCTAGAAAATATTCTTAAATGTCCCCTCTAACAAGGAATTGCTGTTCTCATACACACTTTCTTGAGGAACCTGGAGGAAGGACCAGCAGTGCACATAGACTGCACTGGTTTCATAAGCTGAAATTTTAAAGAAAACACATAGATTAATTACATATTTTTGTATGTTTTGAGTTGTTTTGGTCAGTGATGCCAGGATTTGCATGAACTGGGACTGCAGAAAACGGTCTATAAGTTTGAAGAATTACTGATGCTTTTTCTGTCCATTTTCTCTTATCAGTGTTGCTTGTAACAATCCTGGTAGTGGAAGGCATTGCCGTTGCACAGAAGACACAAGGTACAATTTTAGTTTGATGATTTTCTCTCATAAAATGGAACAGTTTTAGAACTTTTAATTGAACAATATAAGTGAAATGTTTGCATTCAGATATTAACAGCTCTTGAATTACCAATATGAACTGTGGTATTTTCCATTTTCCCCCATTTGCTGCATTTTCTCCCAAATGAACAAAGCCATGCAGTCACAAAGAACATGGAAGTTTCACTTTCCCAGGTAAAGTTCTACAGTTTTAGATGTTAGAGGTGGGAAAGAAACCACCACGGAAATTCATGTTTTCTGTATCTGACAACAAGCTTTTCAAATAGTCCACCCACAAACATTTTTGAAGCCTGCTGAGTGGGGAAGGAATCAATTTCACAAACCTTATCTTTTCATATGTGGGATTACCCACACTTAAAGAGAGAAGAATTCCTTGAACTGCCACCTACAGAATTTCCTTGAAAAATTTCCGCAGGAGAGAGAGTTTTCACCCCCATAAATCAAAAAGCTGTCAAGATACTAGTGGAAGGTGATGTAATTTACTGGAGGCATTTAAGACCTGTACCAGAATGGATGTCCTCTCACAGGTCTGCAAATTAAAACAGTGTAAATATAAATAACACTATGAGAATACCCTGTGAGATTTAGGAAATATCTAGCAGAAAATATATATCCTGTGTCTTACTCTTTCAGTTCTGCTGATACCAAGGAGAAGGGCCAAAGGTACTTAAGAATGTCAGAGATCACACTATTCCCAGCCTCTTCTCCATGGATGAGGAAATGGAAACCAAACTCCTGTGAATGATCCAGCAGGAAGGATTACTTTACTCAACTGCATAATCTCAGTCAGAGAACACATTTCCCTGTACATCTGGAAGAGGAGCTTTGATCCTAAATGTGACCCTTAGCTACCAAGGGCAATCTACCTATTGCTAGGAATTTTATTAACTGTCATTGCTGTATTTAGTGTATTTGCATATTGTAATTTGTTCTGTTACAAACATTCTGTACTCCAACAAATTACTGTAAATATATATCCCACCTTAGTATATTCTGGAATCAGGGTCAAAACCAGTGAAAGCTGACAAATATTTCCAATTATATTTCCATAGGAACGGACATGACATAACCCATATAATAATGGTATTGGCAGCCACTGCGACTATTTCACTTAGAAAGAAGAGTATAAAACACCTGAACTGAGTAGGGTAAAAAAAAGGAAAAAAAATTACTCCCTCTACTTTCCAAGGATCTCTGGATATATTTGATATTCAATTTAGGATATACCCCACCACAAAACTAAGCATAAGATTTTCTTAGATAAATATTAATGAGTGCCTTACCAAGAGGGCTTGCAACCAAAATAAAAACCAAAATAAATTACTTTCTTCTTTATAGGCAATGTGTCATGCCAGAGTTTTACGCTTGCAGAGGAAACTTATTTGATTGTTGTTTTTTTTTTTTTGGCTTAAGGTGGGCAAAATATTGGAGTGAATCGCATTCCTCCCACTCAGTGTGACAACTGGGTCCGGACCAGTAATGGAGGACATTTTGCTTCACCAAACTACCCAAACATGTACCCACCCAATCAAGAGTGCATCTATATCTTAGAAGGTAGGTGCTGTGTTTCTATTTTGTTTTGCTGTAATCTTACTGTTAAATGGAAAATCTTGAACTGTTAAAACTCATCTTACACTGCTGTAAAGTGTTGTGTGGCTGTGCTGGTAATATAATGAATTCTGCAGTCATTTACTTGAACAAGAAGCTAAATTTTCTCTCTCTAATAATAACAACAAATAAATAAGAAATGCAAACATTAATAAATTAGGTATGTAGAATATGATATATCCTCAAAGCCAGGAAAAGGAGCAGCATATTTACTGTAATCTATGATGGTATGGAATTAGTAAGATAAAAACTGTAGCTTGTTATCTTAATATCACTGATAATAGATTGCAAAAGGCTATTTCATATTGCCAGTATTGTTCTATCTCACCAGCAGAAAACCTTTATGCTATCCTTCATTAATAAAAAAGATATATCTGGCCATAACACTGTACTAAAAATATAGAGATTTGTTAGCACTGCTGAGGTCACTATTAAAATAGTTTGATGAGGACAAAAAAATGTCATTAACTAGAATAAAACCATATTCCAATGAGAATATCTTAAATAAAGGCTGGAAGACTTGAGACACTCCAATTATTTTTCCTCTTATTAGAATGCACCCAAAACCCACTGAAGTAAGCTAAAAATATTAGTCAGCCTAATCATCAGATTCATATCAATTAATTGAAATATTTCAAGTAATGAGGTTTGATGAGTTTTTATTTATACAGCACAGTAGTGGTTCACAGGTCCCTCCTTTTCACTTGTTCCCAAGCTCATCTTGGTTTTGCACCTTGACCAGGAGTGCCCCAGGGAGCAGCCCACCTGCAGGGCTGGGGCACAGGAGCAGCTCCAGCTCTCCTCAGTCTTCCACAGAAACACTGTGGGTGCCTGAGTGGGGCCAAGGCCCTCCAGAATTTCTAGCCAAGATCTGCTCCTTCATGCAGACCACTGCCAACATTCACAGCAGCTCCAAATGCGTGTAGCTTGTGTGAGTGAGGCAGAAGGTCTGACGGGAGTGTTGGAGACGCGAGAGTAAATCCTTTTGGCATTCAGGAAAAGCAGGCAGCCTGTGATTCCTCAGTGCTGTCACTCCAGATCCCAGCCAGGATCGGGAAGTTCACGTAGTGCAGCCGATGCCAAGAACAAGGAACACTAAAGCCATTCATACAGGAGAAAGTCTTGGGATCCAAACCAAGGATGTGAGAGTCAGGATTTAGGACTCTGATCCGAAACCTGATGTTAGGCTGCCACAGGCTCAGACTCACCAACATCTGTAGCCACCTGCATAATATTGACACTGCACAATATATGAAGCACTTACACTTCTCTGAATATTCTAATAAAAGATGTCTTCTGTGAAAGGATCTACAAATTTGGACTTCATGTTTAAGAAATAGTGAGTAGTTCATATCTTTCTCTTTTCCATTCTTTTCTGCATAGCTCAGTGTTTTGTCCTTTTTTATGTATTTTGCTTTCACAGAATTTAATTTATATCTCAATATTTAACTTTGTTTGAATTCCTTTGCATATATGTTCATATCTGTTATATGCGCTACATTAAATTAATGTGATTTCTGAATTTTCAACAATTAAGATCAGCAAGCAAAAAATATGTATGATTCTGTGCAAAAGTATCTTTTAGAAAATAATTTTTAAAATTTTTGTAGCAGACTGCAGATGTGTTTTGAGAAGTTTCCAGTTTCTTGTTTATCTTGCTGTTTTGGAGGCCTGTCTCTTCATTACTTCATGTCTTTGTGTTTTTTATCAAGATCTTCATTTAATCTTTTGCTCAATTTTTTTTATGTCTAGCTGCTCCACGACAAAGAATTGAGTTGACCTTTGATGAACCCTATTACATAGAACCCTCATTTGAATGTCGGTTTGATCACCTGGAGGTTCGAGATGGACCTTTTGGGTTCTCCCCTCTCATTAATCGTTACTGTGGTCTGAAAAGTCCTGCACTAATTAGATCAACAGGGAGATTTATGTGGATCAAGTTTATTTCTGATGAGGAGCTGGAAGGAAAGGGATTTCAAGCAAAGTACTCATTTATACCAGGTAAAGATGTCTAAAATTCTGACTGAGTTAATGACTATCTGCTCCCATTGAACTCTGTGTGTGTGTGCTGGTCCTCTTTAGCCTAGAGCTGTATTTCAGCATGAGCACTTATGGAGGCACAGTGACAATGTCATGGGCACAGTCTCAGTCCTGCTAATCCTACAGGGCACTTGGGGAATCCTGACTAAAGGGAATTACAGGTTTGTAGTTTGCTGGTGAAGAAAACACTTGAGCTTGTTCATGCTGAAGTCTTCTGCAGCACCCCTCCTTATTTCTCTACTTGTACTAGTTTAACCAGTGGTAGGAAAGGAAAAACAGCTTAAGAGCTGCCTTTTCACCAGCTTCACTTCTAGGAGTGTAAGGCCCTGGACAAAAACACCTGAAGCAACTTTACAGTAGCACTGCAGCTAGATGCAAAAGAGGCATTAAATCTCCATTCTGAAAACCCAGAGCAAATATCTGCACAGTAAGCACAAGCTCTCAGTATAACTGGATTCCCTCAACCCTTGGACTCAGACAACAGAGCTGCTCTTTGCTCAAAGTGCTGTGTAGTTCACAGGTGCAGAGGAGAGGACAATGTGCTGACAGTGCCTTTAGACAAACAAAAATTACATCTGCTCTGTGGAGCTACTTAAACCTGGCAGGGCATCCTTCTTACATGAAAATTTGACCTGATGTCCTTGTGCAGTGCTTGACTATTGTACTTCATAGCTACTACACATGTAGTTATCAGCATTTTATTGTCCTTTGGGACAAAAGGCAATATACAAGTGTCAGCTCTACTACTTTGATAAATGTATACACAAATATGACTTCTTAATGTTATCTTTACCCCTAGAGCACATGAAAACACAATTCATGATTATATATTACTGCTTAGGGATTTAGACTCAGAAACTTCAGATTAACATGGTGACCAGGCCGTTGGGAATTACATGATAAAATGTTTTCACAGGGACAGTACTTATGCATTTTGCTAAATCCATTTCCAAAGCCATTTCATCAACATCACTTTCAAAACTAAATTACCATAGTTGCAGGCTGGAACTTTAAATATACATTTAAACTGTATATTATTTTCACAATAGATTGCAACAACTGAAGGACTGATATTTTTCTTTTCCTTCCACTTTGTTTATATGAAGTATGGTAAAATATTTTACAGTTGTGAAAATGAAAGGGAACATATGCGCATACTCCTGCTTCTTAAAAAAAATCAGCTTACAAAGAAGGTTGAAAACCTTGCAGAATTTTGGATATAGTGATCATAGATTTTCACTATAGGTAAATAAAAAGAGGAGGACAAAGAAAGCATGTTCTGAACTGTGCTGAGCCTTAAGCTCAGGACTGAGGCATTCTAGGGGAAGTGATAAACTTCCTATACAGAAAAAATATTATAGGATTGCAGAAAAACCAAAACTCTGGACTTTCATTTGGAAAATAACTTTGTACCAAACAAGCATGCACTTTCTCATGAGATAGTGCTTTCTTTGCATAGAACAACATTTCATAAACCACATCTAGAACTGTTCTACGTGACATAATACAAGAGACACAGAGAACCCAGGGAAAAGTACCTTTAGGATTGAACAGCCTTCTTCACATACTTTTTTAAGAGCAGTTAGCAATTTCAAACTGTTGATATACTTTGCTAAACTCAGTTCATATTGTTCAGAACTACATAGACAGCAGTCGGATAAAATAAATCTAAATAAGCTTTTTGCACAGAGAAATACTCCCTGTATTCTTGTGGAGCTCCAGCAGTTTCAGTGAAAACTGACATAGTTAAATTCAGAATATAATGTAGGAACAAAATACTGAATAGTAATTCTTGGTGTTATGCTAGAAATCTGAGCTGTCAGGGTAGAATTACCTTTTTTTCAGATAAGGTCAATCTTTGTGGAATAATGTTCTCATCTAAAAAAAACTTTGTCTCTATATGCTCCAATTGATTCAATAAACTTTCTGGCAATTTATTTGGTGACATAATAATAAGTGAACATAATCTGCAGATAATACTAAATCTTGTGATTCTCAAGCACTGATAGCCCTTGTGATTCATGACTTCTTTCTATTGCAGATCCTGACTTCACTTACCTAGGAGGTATTTTAAATCCCATCCCAGGTATAGTATTGCAGTAACAATTTCTTTATACATGAAATTTTAAATTAATGTCATATTGCATTTGACAGCAAGTTCTATCTTCTCCCTAGATTGCCAATTTGAGCTCTCAGGAGCTGATGGAATAGTACGTTCCAGTCAAGTAGAACAGGAAGGAAAAACAAAACCAGGACAAGCAGTTGACTGTATCTGGACAATTAAAGCCACTCCAAATGCTAAGGTGGGTTTTGTTCATATAATTCAGTATATAATGGGTTTCCATGGCAGTAGCAACAGGTAATGGTCACTAACTGTGATTTGCATAATGATGTACTTCACTGAAATGAGTCATGTAGCAGTGGCTTAGGAAATCCAGAGAGAGAATTGTTTCTGAAATTAAAATTATACAAGTCCATAGTACTGGCTTCCTATTATTTGAAGCTTCAAATACCAAATAACTGTGAGAACTGTTTAAGCAACAATTTTCAGGGGCATTTGACTTGGACCCTGGTTGTATTGGAAGACTGCAGGCAAAAACATTGGCTGTCATCTTCAGTGATTACCAGTAAATCTCACTGCCAAAGCTTAATGTTTTGCCTCCAATGGTTCTATTGGAGATTTTGGTTCTGTTCAAAGTCAACAGAACATGTGCCTGCTTCTCCCATCTAATTCACAATCCAGCACCTTAAAATCCACTTTCATCAGCAGCCTGAGCTAAATGGAAGGGCTTTACCTTGTTAGGCAGACAGCAGGATAAAACCCCAAAATGCAATAGATAAAGCCTGAGTCATATTTGTTAAATATGTTGCACAGAAGAGCACATACTTTTCTCCATATAGCTGCACATCTTTCATTTTGCTTCTGGTTGCTCATACATAAAAATTAAAAAATATTTTGAAGCAGTAGCTGCCAAGATGACAAATCTTCCCTCTGCCTTCTTACACACTCCTAACAGTTAACTAACCAGCCCTGTTAACCACCTTGCAAGTGCATTCTAAAACAGTAACCAAAAAGATGATAATATGAGGAAAAGACGTGAAAGAAATTACAAGTCCATTAATATATTTGAGCCTTTGAGGAAATGAGTCAATTCCCAAGAGCCCTATACTAGTCTAAGTAATAGACGCAGTTCTTCCAGAAACAATAACAAACCCATTTTCTCTCTACATTGCCAGTTGAGTGCACCAGGTCTTGTGCTTAAGTATTTTAATAAATTATTGAATGTTGCCAGAAGGCAGAGTTATAGTTGGGTGAGTCCTGAAATTAGATCATCTTCTTAAATTATTGATTTAAAACATTACAGAAAAATAATTCTTAGTATTCTAACAGTGGTTCCTCAAGCTTCAATTCAGGCAGAATTATGATGATAAAATACATTAGATCTGATACAGTCCAATCTCTTGAGAAAAATAAGCATAGACATTTTTAATTCCCTCTATTTGATTTTGTAATAAAAATAAACTTTTAAAACTGACACAAGTGCAGCAGTGAAAGTACTTTTAAAAGTGTATAGCAGACACTTAATAAATTACCTCCAGATTTCATAAAATTACCAGAATAATCAATATAATGTAAGAGTAAGGACCTTTTATACTTGCCTAACACATTAATCCAAAGGATCTTGTGAAGAAGTGAACGCTTTTAATGGGATTATTCCTTTGTTACTACACAAATAATAGCTCTCCTAAAAGTGCGCTAAATTATTTTTAGTTTCCATTGTAATTTTGTAGCAGATATGTAAAGTCAATCATTAAAAAGAAATGCCCTCTCTCAGCCCAAATACTAGCAATTGCAGCTCACATCCATGGTTTTGAGATAAGTCATCAATGGAGAACAGGTTCTCAATGTAGCTGAGAATTTCCAGCAGTAAATCTAACAAAAACAGCAGGAAAAAAAAGGAAAATAGACAAAAAGAAAAAATATATATGCTGAAAATCACAAAACAGTGAGGTGAAGCATGAGCTAATATGGCACAGGCTGCACCTTCAGAGAAATGTGCAAGGGAAGGCAGAGCTGGCCAACCTGCCTCTGGAAGCACTGGAAAGGAAATGCCACAGGGTACAAGTGTCACCTGCCCTTCTCTTTTACCATGTTTCAATAAAGCCTGCCAGGTGTAGGAATGGGGAGGGGAATATCTCGTTTTGTCCCTCAGAGGTGGTTGGTAGTGAGCTATGGCAAAGGGGCAGCAAACTGGGTTATGGAGGCCAAGCATGGGATTCACATGCCCTGACCTCCTGCATCCCCTGAGCAGGGGTCCCAGAGTCCTGAGGCAGGGGATAAAGCCCTGATGTGCAGAAGCTCTGCAGCATCCCTGGCACGGGTGGCACAGGAGGTGGGAGCTCAGACAGCCCCAGGCTGAGCCCAGGAACGCTGAGAGAGCTCATGGGCAGGAGAGGAGCACCTCTGCCTGCCCCTGGGCACGTTTTTTCTCTGGGAATGCAATGGCTGTCTAAGAATTGCTAACCTCTAAAAAGCCTTTGCAGCATGCTTAGGTGACGGTTTCATATCTCAAAATTTGCAGAAGAATTTTGAGAATTCAAATACAGCCATTGAAGAGATTCGAAAGCCTTTTGATGTGTTCATGTAATTTTAACTGAATTACAATCTCGCACGAGTTTCCTGCTCCAGCAAAATAAATTATTTACTTACTCTTTAAATACCATCTCAATTTTCTAATTTCCTTGCTGCATGTGTTCTAACACGTATGCTGCCTTCTCTTGGATTAGATTTCTGCTTTTAGAAGTATTAAGATTAGCTTAAATTCATTAATTCTTCCTACACAGCCATCTTACTTCTCTCTCGTTTCCATTTTTATTCAAATTACTCCTGACTTCATGGTTTGTGTCTTCCATAACACAGCTATGGTACAGTAATTAGCTTTCATTCTGAAGCAATAAATTTTAATTTCCTTATTTTACTTCAGAGCTTTTCAGACTAGACTCTTTCCCCTATATTTTAACTTTGTTTTTATGAGTTAGAAAGAAAGGAAAGAGAACAGTCAAAATACTTTAAAAATTATTTCAGTACATTTATGAGTTCCTTATATCTCTTCTACAGAAACAGACTTCACATTTAGCCAAGCTTCTTGGGGGCTCCTTCACAAAGTGTGTTGCTTTGTACTGTTTTTCCAAAGGGAGCAGAAATAAATCAAAGTAAAATTTTAAATAAAGATTGTTTTGGGGAGCAGGGAGAAGTGAAATGAATACCCAAGACAAATGTCAGGTAATATTCCACACAAACATCTAGTGAGAAAATCTAAGTTTAATTTTGTGCATTGGGAATTACATTTATGTGTAAGGGAAAAAAAAAAATCTTATTCAAGATTTTCTAAGAAAGAAAACTCTCCTCTGTATTTCTTCTCCTAAAGACATTGATTCCTCTGTCCTAACAGATCTATATGCGATTTCTGGACTATCAAATGGAGCATTCCAATGAATGCAAAAGGAACTTTGTTGCTGTGTATGATGGGAGCAGTTCCATTGAAAACCTGAAGGCCAAGTTCTGCAGCACGGTGGCCAACGATGTCACGCTGCAGACAGGGACAGGGGTGGTGCGGATGTGGGCAGATGAAGGCAGCAGACTGAGCAGGTTCAGAATGCTCTTCACTTCCTTTGTGGATCGTAAGTAGATCTAAAAGTGCCAATTCTCCTGGCATCAGGATGCTTTGAGTATTTTAGGGAAAGCATCAGCTGTATATTAAGCAGCAGGAATGCATGAAAAAGGTTGTTTCTGTTTCCTTCACATGCTAGCAGGTAAATTAGATAATTGCTTTATTACATTTCTAACATGGTTCCTGAAGAGAAGCTTTCCTCTGTTCTTAAAAGGTTTATTTTCTATTTGAATTCAGCAATACTGCCCTAGGCTACATCCTTCTCACAAAGAGACGTACTTCCCTACAAATGAGCACAGACTTCTTTCAAAAAGACAGCAGTGGGATTGAAGTGTGCTCTCCCACTAGCTCCCAGTTCCCTGCCAGACACCACAACAGGCTCTTCTTAAGGCCACTCTGCATGTCCAGAAGAGTAGAAAACATGCCTGATCCTGTAAAGTCTCATTCTCCTTCCTAAACACAGCTCTATATTCAGTTGTGGGTCTGGAACTACACCCCCTCCAGCCCCTCAAGCTGCTCCCTTATGCTCAGCCTCATTTGGCTCTAATGGACCCCACATGTGGTCCCTTAGCAAAGCCCTGTTGTGTTGCACAACCATGGATAAGCAGTTAAATTCAAGTTTATTCAAGAAGCCTGTAATTAAAGCAGAGTTGTAAATGCCATCTGGATTTTTGTTTGGATTCCATAGCCTGGGTTAGAGATAGTCTTTATACTCATTGTAAATTAAGATGTTTCTTGAAAGCAGGTTTTTTGTGAGATTTTTTTTCTTCTAGGGTGTTGTACCTGAATGAAATTTTGTTGCCTCACATATTTATGGAGGGCAATACTGTCCACGTTGCAGAACCACTGCAGTGCCATTTATATGGCACTAAAGCAGACTGAGTTCAGAACTGCAGAGCAGATCTGAGATACATGGAGAGAGCTGAATGAAATATTCCCGTTTCAGGAAATCAGACCTATGCTTGTGCTAAAGGTTTTCAAAAAGTTCTGCTTGAAGAATAAATAGTACAGATTTGCTGACAAAAAAATAACTTCTGACAGAACATATCTGTAGCCAGTCCTGAAAGAGATCCTGGTCACTACCTTGCAAGAAAGTTCAGGTTACAGGTAACAGGTAGATTTTATGTTCTGTTCCATAAAACAGTAAATTTTAACACAGGAGAAAAGCTACCTTTTGTAAAACAACCTTTTTAAAGTAACAGATATGTATAAGAGAAATAGCTTCTGGCTTACTTTGAGTACATGGTCGTAAAGAAGAGTTTCATGTTTCAAGCTAGTCTATTGCTTAACCTACAAGAGGCATTTAATAAGCTTTAGATATTGAGAATTTAAATAAATGTCAGTTTTAAGTACAACTTGCAAAAATTGATAACTGATTTTCCACTAGCTTTTATTTCAATACAATTATTAACATTGGTGGTAGTGCAAGTTACTCCAGCTTTCAATTTAGAAAATGTTACGAACTTTTCCAGGGAAATTATCTATTCATATTATAAATATTGGAGTGGGGTTTTTGTTGTTGTTGAGTTTGGATTTTTCGGGGGTGGTAGTGGGGAGGGGTTTAATGCAAGATGTTGAAACACTAGATACTCCTAAAGGTAGATAAATTTCCAAATTTATGAATTCAAAGCAACTCAAAAGTCATTGCCAGAAGAACATTTGCAAAGGTATGTGTTTATTGTTATTTACTTGAGATCCTGCCTTTCTTGGATAGGGTCATTGAAAACTATGTGGCTGAAAAGTGTTTCAAGTATTTTTAATTTATTCAATTTTATTATGAGTCATAAGCAATTCTTCTAACTGAAAAAAGTGAATCTGAGCTTATCTTATTTTCAGATTGTTAAGCTATCTTTCTCTTCTACCTTGCTAATGACTTGTAATGATATGAAGCCAACCATGAAAACAATCAATATTTCTGGAAAGATTTCCATAAATGAACTAATAGTGCATGACAGTCACCTAACACACACTAGCGCTGCTTGCAGATTTGACTAAGTAATTCAGCTAACAGCAATGTGAAAAATCAATGTATTTGATTGCTGGCTCGATTCAATAGATGAGTAATGCTGGATACAAAAAGCACTGTGAGCATTGCACCACTTTTGGGCAGCTGTTGTGAGAAGAGTCCAGCTATGTCCTTGAAGTCTTAGGCTGGAATTGATCAACCATTGTGACTTTTAGACTTCAAACTCCCCAAATAACAGACAAAGGGGAAATAAGGCCATTTGTCCCATGTTCATGAACTGTGAACAAAAGCCATGCCCACAAAAACTTACAGGGAGTACACAAACATGTGAAATAGAGACTATGCTGGCAGATGGAGAAGCAACAGCAGAATGCATCATCCAAAAATACAGAACTGTAAAAAAAAATTCATGTGTTCAGGGTAATGAGAAAGGGAATATGTTTACCTTATGGCATAACTGACAGAATGGGCCTGATCTTGACCTTCTGAAGGAGTGACCCTGTTTTAAAGCAGTATTCTTCAGACTAGATCTATTTTCCAAAAAAATAAAGTCTCAACTCACTTGAGAGAGGAAGTGATGTGATAGCTACCATGACATTTTTAAGCACTGAGATTACAGAGATAAACTGTTCCAAAATACACTCTTATCTATGTTCTGTATTCATAGTTGCACTACAATTAAAGCAAATCTTGTATGGAACCTCTTGCCACATTGCCAGGGTTAAGTACTAACAGCAAATGCAAAATCTTAAAACAAATGAGTGTAGGTTACCCAGCTTCAGTGGAGTAAGCCATGGGAAGACAATACATAATTCAGGGATGCAAAATCAAAATTAAAGGTTTGAATGTTCTTTTTTTCTAAGGCAAAATTCCTCTTTCTGTCATTGAGATTCTCATGCCTAGCAGAATGACTAAGTGAGAAATGCAATGTACAGGAGCAGTCATTCCCTCTGCTCTGCCCTTTGGGTTTTCTGTTATGTTTCAGAGAATCCAGACTGCTCAAGAACACGATTTTTCTGTGAAACCAAATAGTAGAATGTCTATCACAAATCTTTGCTGTTAGTATATAACTGACTCCACTAATAACAGACATTTCCATCATAAAAATATCATATTACTGAAACAAAGGGACAACCAATTTCTTGTCCAGTGCCCTGAATTTATAAATAATTCCCTCTGTATATGATACAACACCCTGAAAAGAATTATTACTTCTTTCTAACATCTTTTTTCTTATGTCAAGGAGCAGTAACAAATACTCACAAAAACATGGGGCAGCCTTCTAGTTAATTTCTTTCTTCAAATTTCTGACTATATATAGATAGCTAGATAGATACATAAAAAGCTAAACTATACTCTCTCAATCCCTGCATTAGCTCTAATAGGAGGATGCAGGAGCTTTTGATTCACAAGCAGAAATGACTTAGATGCCTCAAGTTATTGAAATCTCTTGCAATTGCTGAAACAGTCCTCCACAAGCTGAAATCTGATTTGCCTTGAGATATTAATGGGCTCTAAAATGCAGATGTTGAGAGACTGCTTCACAACATCTACGCAGCAGATGCTCCATGGAATAAATATATAATTGATAGTGAGCATGCAATTTTTAAGTTTTCATAGATACATACTAAAACTTTCTTCCATTATCTGTGTTTTGTGACTGTCTCTATTTGCTACGTACCCCTTTGGAGCAAGAACTGGTTTTGTAGCATTGATAATATGCTGATAGCAATCACTTGAAGAGAGAGAAAAGCATCAGATAGTGACATGCAAGAGAAGTGATTGTGTTTCAAACAGAGAGGAAGGATGCATGTTAAAACCACAGATATAGAAACTTAATAGTTTTATTGCAAGGCATCGATTACTGAAAATCCTGAATGTCTTCTTTCTCTTCTTTCCTGCAGCTCCCTGCTCAGGCAACACTTACTTCTGTCATAGCAACATGTGCATCAATAATTCTTTAGTCTGCAATGGCATTCAGAACTGTGCATACCCTTGGGATGAGAATCACTGCAGAGGTGAATATAGTGCAAACCCCAGCCTTTATGAGCTAGGCTGGTCAGTTTGCCTTTCAAGAAAGTAATGAAATGTCTTTTTCCTGGAAATATGCTGAAGACAGCTATTCTACTAATCTCAGGAAGGTGTTCCAAATTTTTTATTTAAACTCAGGACACATGTAAGCATCCTGAATATTGATCTTACTGTTTTAAACTAAATTTCTTTCTCTTCAGCATATACTCTATATTTTAAAAGGATAACAGCTGGATAAGAACTAGAATTTAGTCTTTTTGAGGCTGCATCCTATCAATTTCTAAACTTCAATGAAGCAAGGATTGTAGGGAGGGGTAATATCTTTTAGAAATAAAGAGATGAAAAAATACAGAAAAGTTTTCAAGCACAAAAAGCCTCTCTCAGTGTTGAAATAGAAGCAAGAATCCTCAAAGACGATTTTAAAGCATTTATTTAGAGTTGTAAATCACAGGTTATTTCAGGATAAATTCAGCTGCTGTATATGGTGTGAGAAAGGATGGGAGGAAGGGGGAATTGTTAAGCAGCATGAAATAAACATGGAATACAGACATGTAAATTGCTGCTTCTAGAACATGTGTTGGTATTTCAAGCATCACAACTGCAGTAAAGACTTGTTTCAATATCAGACTTTGTAGGAAAAATTCTCATAATTTGAAGAAATTGTTCTTCTGTTAAAGCACAGACATTCTCCTCTGCTTCAAGACCACTCAATTGTCAGAACAAAACCAGTCTAAGGTCAAAATTTTTTCTTGCTAAATGAAAGAATAGAATAAAAGCACTTAAGCTTGTTCGCTTAGGGTTTTTTGAGAAATAGAATGGCATCAATAGGTCTGAACATAAAACTCCAGAAGATTTAAATAAGTATGCCATTTCAAAGAGAAACTGACCCTTTCATAAAGGGTCAAAACCTTCTCTATAGAAAAGTCTTTTCTGTATATTCTTTCTCTGTAGAAAGTCTTGAAAGAAAATTTCTTTCCAATGCACAAATCCTGCTTGAATTTTAAAGTAAATAAACATTTAAAACAACCCTACTTCTTAATTGCATTTTAGGTAAATAAAGAAATTCACACCACTAATAGATATTCTAATGTAAGGCATATTGTGGAAGTATTCCAGTCAACAAAACTGGTCCATTACTCCCAAGTTTGAAATGTAAAACTATGCTTCCTCTAAACAATCCTTACCTTAGATAATATTACGTGTTCCCTCTTAAGTTTAATTTCTAGATCTCTTTCCCATCTTTACCAATTGCTTTCTGATTCTCCCCTAGGATCCAGACTTCACTCATGTACTGCAGTATTACCAAAATTAATTCCATAAAAACTGTGTCTTTCCTAGTATTTGTAAATTGCTCTATCTGGTGTTGAACAACCCATCATGTTTTATGTTGAATGCACTCTAAATTCTGCTGTAATACTTGCACAGCAGAAATTAAGAGACAGCTGAAGACTAGATCCACATTGCCAGCTAAGGGAGATTGATGCAACCAAATAAGCAATTCTTAGCCTTAAAAAGAGAGCTGCTTACAATTGTGCTCAGTTCCTGCAGGCACCCAGAGTTCTCATTTAGTCCATATCAATAGCTACATAAATCTGAGCATATTGTGACCTACTTATGCCTAAGCCCTGTAACACAAAAATTGATAGAGAAGTCAGTTGTGTGCAATTTATTTTAAGAGACTGAAGAAGACATCGCCTTTTGAAAAACAACTTCTTGATGAAAATATCTGTCAAGAATTAAGAAACCTAGATGCAGACAAGAGAACTGCCATAGCAGTGAAATTCATACCTCCCACCATGGATGGCACCACATCCCATGGATGGGATCTAAGATAGGCAGGACAAAGGGAGATCCTCCAAAGGTAAAAAGTAGCTCAAAGGAAACAGTCCAAGCACTAAAGCAGAAGTGTAATTTCTTATTAGCCAACTCCTTGGGAGTCTCTGCTTAGTATAAGGATTGTTTCAAATAACACATGATGGTGTATAACTCTTCCCTTGCACTGTGTGTGGTATTTAGGTACATAACACACATAGTCAGATGCCAGAAGCCAGATATCTGAAAATGTTATGAAAGATTTAGGCTTTATTCTTCTTCATAGTCTTAAATGCTTTTTTCTCACTTGCCAATGTTGCAGTGTAGGAACCTCTCAGTCCCCCAGGACAAGACAGTTATTGGAACTGAAATCCAACTGGAAAACTTTAATCTTCAAATAAGTATTTTAAATATGGAAAACCATCTTGTTCTGATGCTGCCATCTTGTGTGTTTTCACATGAAGTACTAGCCAAAATTGCCAGATGATTTGGGTTGGTTGGTGTATCCACCCCACCTTTTTTTTCAAGTAACTTGATCATTGGACTCTTCAAACTGGAATAGAGTTTGCTAAAGCTCCCTGTGACGAATTAGGTATAGCAGACTTACACAATAGATACAGCCATTACATTTCCAAGAGAAGTGAAAACAAACAGTACAGTCATTCTTATATCTGATAATATTTCACTTTTAAAGAAGAACTAGACAATTTTAAATCTAGGTTTTCTTCTTCAGACATCACTGGGAATGTTACCAGCAGGAGCAAGCCATGGTAAGAGGAACATCATCTGTAGCTGGATTTAACCTATTTAAGGTTAATTTAAGCCTATTTAGCTCATGGATTTAGGAATACAGACCAACAGTAAAGGTTCAGGATGGAAGGCACACCCCAGCTAAGTCAGCAAGCACTGGTTCACAGAGTTGCACCTGCCACTGAATTATCATATGGTAGCCACTAATGACAGGGAATTAGACAAATCCCATTGACATACAGGTCTAGTCTCCAGTCCCATTAAGTAATTTTATCACTTGCATGGCAATCTCAATACAGTTTTGCTTTGTTTAAATACATTATCAAAAGCCTAGAAATGAATAAATGTCTTGTCATAATCCTTTTTTCTTTGCAGAAAAGAAAAAAACTGGATTGTTTGAACAAATCACCAAAACCCATGGGACAATCATTGGCATCACAACAGGGATAGTTTTAGTTCTTCTCATCATTTCAATTCTAGTACAAGTAAAGCAACCTCGCAAAAAGGTTATGGCTTGCAAAACTGCCTTCAATAAAACTGGTTTCCAGGAAGTTTTTGATCCTCCTCACTATGAACTGTTCTCACTAAGGGACAAAGAAATTTCTGCAGATTTGGCAGATTTATCAGAGGAACTTGAAAACTATCAGAAACTGCGCCGCCCTTCAACAGCTTCCAGATGCATTCATGACCACCACTGTGGCTCCCAGGCCTCCAATATCAAACAGAGCAGGACCAACCTGAGCTCCATGGAACTGCCCTTCCGCAATGACTTTGCGCAGCCCCAGCCCATGAAAACATTTAACAGCACATTCAAGAAAAGCACTTACACTTTCAAGCAAGCTCATGACTGCCCTGAGCAGGTGATAGAAGACAGGGTGATGGAGGAGATTCCATGTGAAATTTATGTCAGAGGAAGGGAAGATACAGCACAAGGTTCATTATCTATTGACTTTTAACTTCCTGATGAAGGTGGTATCAGTGTATATACAAAATGCTCGTGTACAATGACAGTGTATATATTAAAAGTGTACCATATGCAGCGTGTGAGATGCACACACTTTTAGCTTATTATACTTCATTTCAGAAAACAAAACCAGTCTTCATAATTAATTCTTGCTGAAAAAGTGGTGGATTTCCCCAAGCTACCTATCTAGTGGAGGAGTAAGATGGAGACTTTGCATGGAGACTTTAAGATAGGATGTTGGAAGAAAAAACCCTACAACTACTAATCACTGAACAGTGAAAGCAATGACTACTATTCTCTTCTTCATACCATTTTCTCTTCTTTAGATGTCTGCTTTTCAAGACAGTTTTAATACCTCACTTGCATAAATAAAAGTAGTTAAGTGCACCATGTGTATGTCAACATAGGTGTCTTATTGTATTTGTCAAATTGAAAGTAGAGTTAGTGTTAAGTGCCAGTTAAGACTCACAAATTATGTTACAGCCATCTGTTTCACTTGCCTTTAATTATCATTTCCACACTCTATGCTTTGTGAGAAATAAGTGAAAAGGGTTGCTGCCTTTTAACAATATCAAGTGATATTAATTTTAGTACATTTTGAAATATCTTTGCAGCTTTCAGTTAAAACACAAGTGAGTAGTCATTTTATTCTAGATGCCGACTTTTACAACAGTTTTCGTTCAAGAAGGTTTAGGATTTTAAAATATTCTGCCATATATTATAGCTCCATATGGCGCACTGATTTCACAGCTCTGTACTTAGGAAACAATTTTGTTCCTGAGTTTTCCAAGTATTTACATAAATAGATTGTACTGTACATTTGTCTCTTAAAATAGCTTTTTACTCCTTGTTGCAGCCAATCTTCCCTACTGAAATCAGTGATGATACTTTTAGCTCATGTCCTACTTGCCTGAAAAGAACTGCTCTGAGGTCTGTGTGATTACTAGGTATATGAAGGTACTGGAAACAAAGAAATCACAAAGCAACTCCAATTAATCCCTGTGGTATCCTTCTTGTGCCCCTTGTTTCCACTTGCAAAATTGCACATTTCATACCTTTTTAAATGGTGGTTTGGACCTAATTTAAAAATTTTTACAATATAGAAGAAAAATTTTAAAATATATTCTCATTGTGGTTTTTAAGCTTTTTACATAGTTTGATACTGTACAGCCTATTTCTTAAATCCAAATCTAGCCTGTATGGAAGGCTTTCAGGGTCCCTCTTAGTAGCTCTGAATAACCTGCAGTTGTTGCATCACAATTTGCCAAGAATACTTCTCATGATTTCCAAATTAGCCTGCACTTTCTTCCCTGAGTAGTTTGAGTTTATTTGGGTATTTTTTTTACAGGAAACATTTGACTAAAGCTGATGCCCCAGCTAGCACTGGGCATAGCCTTTATTTACAGATGGATGTCAAACCATAGTGTTTGTTGTGCTGAATGTAGTACAAAAAAAACCCCAAAACCATCTTAATATATGACCCTTGCAACTGAAAAATCATTTATTTGAAATAAAAGATGAACAGCTGTAATCACAGATTTTTATTAGAATGATAAAGTTGGTTTTTTTAATGCTTAAAATGTACAACATTTAAGAGGAAAAATAATGGGGAATTGAGTTTCTTCAATGCTCCCCAACTTCAAAATTAACCCTGTCTCATGCTTAAAAAGAACTTAATCAGCTCTTGTCTTAGACCCACAAGGCTGTATGTACCCTGGTGCCAGTTTTTGTGCTGGTCCCTGAATGTATTTCAATTTGAAAGAATGAAAATGGGTTTTATTTTCTGATGCATTACATGCAGAAAATAAATGTTACAAAAATCTAGTTAATTTTTACTCGAAAATTTTTTAATATTTAATGAAAACATTTGGTAGATTTTATTTCCTTCTCATTGATCTCAGGATAAAGTATCTCACTATGACCTATAGGACACACAACTCTATTTGTGACACTTTGTTAGTTCCAGATTCTTTCAACAAGTAATATGTAGTTTTACATGGGTTATTCTAATCCATATAACTCTTATAAATGCTAGGTTTGCATGACTGAGTTTTCTTTTTTAGGCATATTTTATCCATGTGCTAAAAATTATATGATCCCTGGTCTTTCCCAAGTTATGTTGCCTTTGAACAGTAAAGCTGTACTAATAAAACAAATAAGAAGCCTGCAGAGCCCAAGTCTGTGGAGAAGAGGAAAATTGAAGAAGTTCCCAAATGGCCTGAGTAATATTTCAGTCGCTGTCATAGCCTTGTGATTACATGGTCAGAACACAGCTGCCTTTTGGCTACCCCAGAGCTCCCACAACCATTTCTGGCTTTTGGCTAATTGGTTCCAATATCCCTTGGTGTGTTTGAGAACCAATCTACCTACACAGCCCACGGCAAGGTGGGGTTCAGTTACTGAGCTGTGCTTTAAGAAATGAGTCAGAACTACCAGAGCCATACTTCCACTTTCAGTATAATGAACTTCAGAGAAAAACTAGCTGGGTAGACTGCTGGGTATAACAGTATAGAAAGCTGACATTTCTAGAAAAAGAATCTAGTACTGGTTTAGCAGTCACAATCCGGTTGAAGCTGATGTTGTGGTCTTTAAACTTTTTTGGGGCATTAGTGCAAAATATCACATTTCATACTAGTGCTGTATCTAAGTACCATTAGCCTGTGTCTCTCTTAAATTCATACATTTCTAGGAGCATCCTGATTTTGCACTCCATTGTACCCATATCTGCAATATTCTCTGCTAGCACTGAATGCTCCTTAGCAATGACACACTCACTAGACACACACTGACCAGGAAAAGACCAACAGTATCGACTACTTTTTGGGATTTCTAACTCATTTTTACCTTTTATCATAGTAGCTTAGACTATCTGAGCAAACTATCTAATGAAGAATGAATGGTGATAAAAATTGTAGAAGTAAACTTACAGCCAACATGAAAATAAAACTGTCTGTGATTCACAACTCCTGCAAGTTCTCTGAGGAGACATCTGTATTTACAGAGATGATGGCAGTGGCACAGGAAACTCAGGTTTAATGCTGTTCCTGACTCCTCAGTGATCACAGAAATACCAATGTGTACTTAAAATGCACGGGATTCTCTCGTCTGCTGTAGACAAGATGGCCTCATAGCATCTACAAATTCCAATGGCATGTCGCAATAATGACTGTCTATTTTTACTAAACCAGTACTAAGAAGGGTTATGAAAAGAATTGTCATTATTTTACAAGAAAAGGTGTTTGTCATGTGAACACTTCACAGAATCTTTGTCACTAAAATACTCTTTGTTTTGTTTTACACTTGGTACAAACAATTCTGTACGTTAGCAGGAAACCTGCTGAATGAGGGGAAAAGGCTTGTCTTATTTGTACCTAAATAAGTTCTTATATCTTTGATCACAAAATTTAATTTTCCAAACTATTTAAGTACAATCCTTTATCTGAAAGGGTACCAACAGTGCTAGTAGTAAAAAAAAAAAAAAAAAAAAAAAAAAAATTAAAATCTTAGCACATATACCTAGGAACATGAGTAAATTGCTGCTTAAAATGAAACAACTGAATTCAAGTGGATGTACCAAGCCACAGCTACAGTCCGAGTTTCCTGTATGGTCAGGCTCTGTATATCTGTTCACAGCAAAACTCGGTTAAGTCCATTTACTTTTACATGTCCTTATTTCAAAGTTGACATGTAAGCCCTATGATTGCTCAGGTCTGTTGAGTGTTTATCAAAGCAAGATTCCTAATCCATGCCAGCCTGAAAGATAAGATGATTTTACACTGAGATCACACTGCTAAAACTGAGTATTAATTATAATGGAAGAAAGTATTTTAAAATCAAAAATCTGGATGACTTGATTTATGCTTTGAAAATCAGTATTTACAGCACCCATCTCAATCTAACAATATAAAAGCTACTGTTTATGCAGCTGCAAAAACCATTCCTGTGACATCTAATAAGTATCTCTGTACAGCATCAATCCCCCTTGTAAATGCAAAAGCACATGTCAATATGCTGTAATATGTGACACCATGGAACTGCAGTTTATTTTCATATTCAAATTCCTTTGCTACACTCCATTTTACACAATCAGCTTAACAAAAATCTTTTTCCATCTGTTTCATAGGTCAACAACAGTAATTTCTGAATGGTCAACTTGTTTCCTCTTATTTCACTATTGAAGATAATCTACCATATACCAGATAAAACAGCTTAGTTTTTATAAGTCTGTTCTTACAGAGCCAGGCTCAGGGAGAAACAAAGGACTTGATGTCTTTGTACCTCTTTCCCCTAACATCCCTTAATTTATGGTAATATCTTGTATACTGGAGAAACCTCAAAAAACTTCATGCCAAATTCTATTCAGGAAAAAACAAAGTACTGTGATAAACCAAATACTAGGTACCTAAGACCTACATACCTCATAAAATCAAAATAATTTTCAGGTTTGGAATCTGCATCATTCTTTCTGAAAAATGGAATTATGTCAGTACTTAAAAGATGCACATCACATCATTTTCCCTAAATAATTCCTTCTCATCCCAAACACAGATTTCCTAGACATCTTTTACGTGCTAAAACTGATTTCAATATTTTATTAATTCATATCTAGAAATATATGCATATTACAATTTATAATTAGCCTCAAAGTTCATTATCACTTACATAAAGTTGCTTCTTCTTTCCAAATGTTTTTTAGGAGCAAGGATTACACTGTGAAGTATTTATCACTAAACCACAGCATCTGAGAGTTTAAGCATTACGTTAATTTCTGAGACTGTACTGCAGCTTATTTTCCACCAGAGAAGTGAGAGACTACGAAGAAAACTCAAAGCTCATAGGATTATCTGCTTAACCCCAAATGAATATGGCTAAACTGGAACAAAGTACATCAGTGTTCTAATACTCAAGGTTTGGTATTTCATGGGGATGTTATATCAGCATTAAATGGGCCTGTGTTTTTTTGTGAGAGTATTTCATTTGCTCTAGGTTTGCTCATTACATGTCTGTAATAACTACTACATTCACCTGTGAATAACACAAGGAACCAGGGCTTAACCTCTTTGCAGAGACAGGAGAGGAGCTGACAATTAACAAATTCTTTGTTTAAAATACGAAGGGGAAACAATCAAATATTAACCCCCAGACATTTCTGATACAATGTTTAACTCACCTCCCAAAGCAGTTGAATTACCCTCAAGATAGTAAAATCCATAATTCTACCTAACTAATATTTTAGATTCCCTCACTTCAGTAAGCACCCTCAAATACTCCTAATAACTTTGAAAAAGCCAGGTCTTAGGACTGAGTTTACTGGCTAGCATTCTCAGCTACTACTGATTATTATAGAAAAAGATGATTCAGTGGTTAATGGGGGTGAAAAAAGCAGG